AATTTACTAGGTATTTTAGTTGATATTACAAATTAAATTGTAATAATTAAGAAACTTGAAATAATTTTTAAACATACATGTCAAAATTGAGATTATTACATGTTATCTAATAAATTTTATTTTTACGGCAAATCCAGTCATTTACAATCTAAAATTGTAATTTTTGCGAATGTCATAAAAATTTAGTTTTCTCCGTGTAGTGAGTGATTTTTCTAATATATTATCGTGTTTAATGTAGGTACACCTAAATTCTATTTTCATGAATTCTTATAAAGCTGTACCACTTATGAGACGTTTGCTATTATTGTGTAGTTAGAACTTTTACATTACTTTTCTCTATAATTATTGTTTTCTGTTAAACCATTTCGCATTGAACTCCAACATGTTTTTCCGTTACACGTTGCCACATTCTGACAAGTGTTTAAATCATTCCACTTAAGTAAAGTAACTGAAAAGTAGCTATTATAGTTATTTTAGTTGCTCGTATCAACAGTGTTTTTAACAGAACGTAATTTCAAAAGCTATTTGGGTTATTTGTATTTATACGAATGATATTTCCGAAATTAACATTGAAGTACGATTTTCCTAATAAATATGGATGAACCGATCCTAGAATTCAAATGATAACAAAAATGCTACGTTTGGAATAGTTGTGCCTGTTTTTCCGACATTTGTACCTAAATGTATAGGTATTAAATAACGTCATTTTTATGGGAAGATTAAATGACTTCAGTGACTCATAGTTCGGGGAATATTAATAAATACTACCCCAATGCCAAAATCGTTAATTTATCCCTTTATAAGTCACGCTATGTTCCTTATTCCTGCTATTTGTACAAACATATACGCATATTTTTAAACATAAAAAATTAAAACTCACCGGGAAGATCATCGGCTCCTTATCATAATGGTCACCCTGAAAAAAAAAGTATAATGGTCAAGACACATAATTCAAAACAGTAAATAAAATTGTAAATTAAAATTATCACTAATTATATATATTAATATCAATACTTTAAGAAAGTTCACGGAGAAAACTAAATGTTTATGGCAAAGCAAAAATTACAATTTTCGATTGTAATTGATTGAATTTGCCGTTGTAATAATCTCAATTTTGACTAGCTTTTTTAAAAATAATTTCAAGTTTCTTAATATTTGTAGTATCAACTCAAATACATAGTGAAATGGTTTGTGCTAGTATTTTATTTGTACAAGTTCGAACCCAATTGCAATTTTTATTAATTATTTTCGCTTACGAAGCAACGGGCTAGTGGGATAAATTCTAAATATTGCTTTAATATTTAGGTAAATTTTCCTTTTTCATTTTCTCCGTGTTTTTACTTTTAGTAGTGGTTATTATTAGGTACCTTTAGGGTAAGCAACAAGGAAGAACTTTTATGATTATAAATATGTTTGTATAGGTAATAATTTTATTTGGTACCCATATATGATGGTACTTGCTTTTAAATAAAGTACCTACCTACCATATTGTACCATTGTAAGGCGGTACCAAATACAGATCATAATCTGCTTACGTATTAATTGACAAAGAATTAAAATCGTAACTCGGACAATCCAAAATATATAAAATGCAGACACGTCCTCGTTGCGATCATACCTAAAATAACTGTAATATATTTTGATCGCGTTTTACCGTATCCAAAGAAGCTTGATGATAAAGCATATCTACTTAGTAAATAGATAAAAAAACACCAAATAGTAATAACTGCGGTCAAATAATTCAAAAACAAAAACAATTTTCATTGGTTTTATTATTAACTTAAATAATACCCATATATCCATATATTATTTATTAATTAATATAAATATGAAAAAAGTTCAAACAGTTAAAAAGTTTAAATAATTGTTTCTTATTAGAATTCATTACAACAAAATAATTTTCAATTCGAGCGTAGACAAATAAACCATTAAAATTACATGATATTTTCAGAAATACATTTCGTACTTGTTTTGTGAAATCAAACGGCTGCGGATGGATAACATTAGTTATAAATGTGTGATAATTAAAAAATATACATAACTGTAAAAAGTTAGCACACGCAATAACGTTAAGAATTTGGAGTGTCCTTATGAAATAACGTAGATAAGAGATCAATTTCCGGTAGTAACAGGATCTACAAAACACCGGTACCAATAGAATGAAATTTAGGACCCCTGTCTCTGTTTTACATTCCCCCCTCTCCCCAGTTTTTAATTATTTAATTTAGGAACGCAAAACAACTAACAATTTCCATATTCTTTATGCAATATTGTTCAGAAATCTATCTCATTGGGCAGTGCTTATAAATAAGGCAATAAATTTAAACAAAAAACCAAAACCAAAGTAAATACTGCTTAGAAAACATCAGATCATTATTTTGATTAAATTAGTGCAAGGAATAAAAATAAAAGGGACTGTAGCAAACTAGCAGCGTCACCGATGGGTCCATTTTTGGTACCTACTGACATAGACCTTAAAGTTACTGTTTCTTATGTTAAACTTGTTGTTTCTGTCGTTAAAATACGTAATATCGGTCTTTCCTCTTAATTCACAGTATTACGTACATATTCAATTAATTCATATTCAGTTCAGTCATTCGACCATTCGATGGTTGACTAATGAAGTATGTAAGTGCTGGTAAGCACATACCAGTTAGTCTTTCCGTTCAGTTAGTTGTATCTATACAATGTCCCATTAAAACATAAAAGCCTCACTTCCTTGGCAAGAAAGTCGTATTGTTGATTGTTTAGTCGTTAGTTGTTAACGTCTTATAATTTATAATCCTTTCGGTAATATGTATTAGGTGTAGATATATCTTTGTTGTTCGCGAAAAGGGCGGTTATAAGTGACGGTTTTGGTGGCAGTTATAACTGTTCAGTGTCCACCCCCTAGTAAGGTCAACTGTCGCCACCGCGGCCGCGGTTTTTGCTTTGCCCAACACACTGTTATTTGACGTCGTACCTTCGAAGGAAGAACGATGACTGTTGTTCTTTCTTTTTAGTGAGTGACTGTGATAATAAGTTTTTAAAAAATGTTGCCTTCGTTACCTTTTAACAGAAACAGTTATTATTAATGTAAAGTGAAACAAAAGAAACACTGAAAAGTATGATCATAATAATATCCAATATATATATGTGATAAATAATTCGTAAACTGATGAACAATTGTCAAGGTTTTTTTATTTAGAGTTAATAAATACATCCGAGAAGAAAGAGGTAAATATAATAATCTTATAGTTTGAAATAGTTTCTCTTATTCTGTTATTTGCAGTGTATAAACCTAAAGGTAGCACAAAATAAGCTGTTTTTTATTAATTAATTAAATAAGATACTGACAGCGCCCAGTGGACTAATACTAATACGCCGTTGAAGGGTTACAATGTTGCTAATCCGTTTAAAGTATTTCTAAGGCTTTATTTGAAATCAATTTAAAGTAAAATATTATTTATCGCTTATGTTTTTTGTTAAATTAATAAATTAATTTAGGTTTATACACTTGTTTAGACCTGTAGAATAATTTTATTTAAATGACCTTTACATTTAAGGTTCCAAAAGATTAACAACTCCAACACTTATCGAAAAACTTTTGGAAAAGCACCACTATCTAACATGAGACATGGGCAAGTTTGGATTTTTGTTTATAATGACCGTAGCAATTGTTGCTTTTTTGTGGACAGAAAATGTTATTTCCATCCCTACTTCCGTTCCACCCCAAGCGGTGACGTACGATGAATATGTTATAGAGCACGCAATTTCATCGCAAAGTGCAAAAAATGTAGCTTTATCAATGGACGTAAATTCAAGTAAGTGAAAAAGTTAATATAAAGTTTTAATATACGAAGGAAGTATTTTTTAACCGGTTTCGCCTAGTACAGTTTCACCATCTTCGATTATTTAAAAAAAAAAAAACAAATTGAAAACTTAAATTCTATAGTTTCGAACTCGTTAAAACTTTTTATAATGCATATAGGTTAGTATGTACTAAAATGTAGATTAAAACATCTTTCCGAGTAACCGATTATTAACTGTAGTGAGTGATTTTTCTAATATATTATCGTGTTTAATGTAGGTACACCTAAATTCTATTTTCATGAATTCTTATAAAGCTGTACCACTTATGAGACGTTTGCTATTATTGTGTAGTTAGAACTTTTACATTACTTTTCTCTATNTATTATTGTTACAACAACTTCAAGCATGTCATTAAATGAAAAAACAAGCAAAAAAAACAGACACAAAAGTCTTATAAGTTGTTTATTGGGGAAAGTAAGCAAATATTGATTTTTATCTACAAGTAGGTCAAACAGGGTTAGATTCCTACAGCAGAAAAAATATTAAAAGAGTTTGCCTTAGAGGATTGAAAATAATTACACGTTTAAAAATCAGAATGGGAAATCAATATTTGGAACGAAGTATTTAGGTGAATTTCCTTTTTTTTGCTTAGTTTTTACTAAAATTTCCTTATATTTCCTCGGGGATTCTTATGACATAAAAAAGGGTGTTTAAACAAAAAATTCAATTGGCGCCTAAAAAGAAAGACTTTTTTGTTTAGTTATTCACAAATATTTAAATACATTTTCAAAGTGCAAGTGCCCTTTAAACAACAAGAATTCATTTGGCATAAAAATGAAATTGTGTTGTATATTCTTCCCTAGTCTGTCTCTAACTTCCCTAGGTGTAGGGAAATATTGTGTTGCATATTCTTCCCTAGTCTGTCTCTAAATTCCCTAGGTGTAGTGAAATATCCCTAGGTGTGGCAAGACTGACTAAAGATCAAGTGTGTTAGTGGACATCTCTCTCCTTCTTACGGACTGCTTGCAGATAGAGAGAGAGAGAGAGAGCTGACGAGATAAATCGATTAGTCTGCCATCTGACGAACACAATGTCATTTTAAAAAGCATCTAAAGTTATTTTTTTATTGGTTTTCTCGAGGTACAGAAAAATTAGTTTTATGTGGTCGTCGGTGACCTCTGACATGTATTTAAGCGAGCAAAACCGCGGACAGGCTAGTAATTAGAAACATTTTTACCATTGGGTGTCCCACGACTTGTTTTGCCTTATCAATAGATAAAATTACTGACGAATTTCCACAGCATCAATAATTCTACAAAATATTTATAATTTATTGTGTTTTCGCTATAACATATCTTATCTCAACTGTCTTAAAGTAAAGAGTGATGAGCATTTTTAAAACTAGTACATGTATTTTGTATTTTTAATAATTGATTGTAATTTTCCTTATTGTGACTCATAAAAAATTAATTATTTATGTAAATATTTAGCTTTAAATGTGTTTCACGATCACTGGGGTAATAAAAATGAAACCGTTTCTTAAATCGTTTCGTAAAACCTCGATTGGTCACACACTTTTTACTCCTATTCTCATTGCCACAAATAATGCCTTTGAAACGCATAACAGACGCGGCCATTTTATTAATTGAGGAAAGTTAAATTGACCTTGGCTTGTTTATTGAGTTTAGATTGATGCCGTTCAATTTAATAGGGTTATTTCTTACTACCGGTTTCAAAGCTACGCACTGTTATAATTTAGTAGGCATTATGCACAATATTATCTCTTTTGTGTAATTTTTCTACTTACGTGCCAATTTATCGAGCAAAATATATGCATGTGAAAGGACAAAACGCAAACATTTTAACCACAAACAGTAAAAAAAAATAGTGATCGTAATTTCCTGAAATACATAAACAATGCATGAGATAATGAATAACTTGTTGAACCCGTTTAAAGTTCAGGTTTTAGTCTAATAAAATTATGGATTAAAAGAAAGAAAAAATGCATAAAAATAGTATGTATTTATAGCACTTGCTAGACATTTCCGTCTTATTACAATATGGCGACTATCGTCCGCCATAATAAATCGATTATAAAATGACACCGGTGTAATCAAAATAAATCAATTAATAAGTCATCTAATTTTATTGCAATTTGAATTTAAATGAATTCTATGATGATTTTATTGAAAACGTTTTTAATTTCCGTCTCTACACGAAGAAAATGAAAAATGAAAATTTACCTAAATATTAAAGCGAAAATAATTAAAATTACAATTTGGACCCGAATTTGTAAAAATAAAATCCCAGCAGAAATAAATTTAGTAGGTATTTCAGTTGATATTACAAATTAAATTGTGATAATTAAGAAACCTGAAATAATTTTTTGAAGAAAAAACTAAGATTATTATAAGTTACCTAATTAATTCTACTATTTCTACGGCAAATTCNTTAAAGTCCCCGCAGAAATAAATTTCCTTGAAATAATTTTTAAAGAAACATGTCAAAATTGAGATTATTACAGGTTACCTAATTAATTCTACTATTTCTACGGCAAATTCAGTAATTTACAGTCGAAAATTGTTATAAAAATTTAGTTTAAGTCTCAGAATATAGAACAAGCATAAGTTTTCGAATAAGTACTTAGTTCTACAGCTTATTGAAGACGATAAGCTTTAATTGTGACAATTATGTATTAGAGCCGTATATTAACTACTTTATTCTTACAATGGGATGATACAACAGTTTAGGCGGGTCTTGTAAGCCAAGTCAGAGGTTACGATCCATTAAGTAAATTTATTAATTCGACAAATGTGTCAGTCCTTATTTGAACCAAGTATGTGCATACAGGGTTTTCGTATGGTTTAGAAATATTCACTTACAAACGAATGTGCTTATACTGAAAACTGAAATCTGAAACTTCAGTTTTAATTTAGGCTTTTTTCTAATTTGTTACTTAAGTTTATTCTTCTTGCAAATAAATATCTTTGAAGATTTATTAATAGAAGTATCTGGAACCAAGCCAAACCCAATATTACTTTACATAAGATCTGTCAATAAGGTAGTTATTGCCACTGTTATCTTTAAGTATTTTTGCATTTACTTTGGCTTCTGTACATGTGTATTTCTTATACCTATTCATGTCCACAGAGAAGTCCGAAAGTTTTGTAGAAAAAAAAAATTGAAACTGAAAAAGTTCTTGAAAGCATGTTAACTTTTGTGTACAATTTTACTTTGATGAAGCTAGATAAGGAATGAAATTTTAAAACTGCCATCGGGAATTACCCCTTAAAATGTTAAAAAATTACTATTTTTCACCTGATTTTTAATACTAGGGTTACTTGGTTCTATTATTTATTTAATTTCTTTATTATTATTCCTTGATGCTTATCAATAAAATGATTTATACCCGATTCAGGTAAAAATTACTCTTTATTTTCAATCAATCAACGTTTCGCATATCTCTTAAGAGCTTCTTCAAGGTAATTGAATTGATAATAAACGCGGAGGCTTAGAATCAACCTCCGCGTCTATTAATAATTCAATTACCTTGAAAAAGCCCTTGACCGATGGACAAAACGTTGGTTAATTAAAAAAAAATTGATTTTTAGCTGAATCAAATTCTGAATAAATAATTTCTTTATTACTTATTGTTAGCGCTTATTTGACGATTTCTACATGTCGCAAACCAAGTGCATTCTGATTTGTTGTTAATTGAAAATTTAATCTCAAAAAGTATAAGACTTTTTTCCTTTTTTTAGTAGAGGAGCCTTTTGGTTGCCAAAAATGTACAGATAGAGAGATGCAATATTGCTTAGGAAATGGTCTTGTAAATGACCATTGTTGTTGTGATATGAATTATACAGGTGAGTACCAATACACACTGTTTACTGTGATAAACCTTCATAAATATTTTGCTATTAACCATAAAGAATAACAGACTTTCAGGAAAACATATTAACGTTTATTTAGTGGTCAGCATTACATATCACTACATAGTATAAAACAAAGTCGCTTTCCCGCTGTCTGTCCCTATGTATGGTTAAATCTTTAAAACTACGCGACGGATTTTGATGCGGTTTTTTTTAAAAGATAGAGTGATTCAAGAGAAAGGTTTATATGTATAAAACATGCATAATGTAGTAGGGAAACACTGATAATTTTAGAGGTTTCTAATGTGATGTCGTAAATAAACACATTTTTTGCGCTTACATTGCAAACGCTGGCTGAACCCTACGAGATAGATCAAAATAATGTACTACAATATTGTACATCTTAAAAGGGTCTACAAAATAGTCGTGATGGTATATATCTATCTCTTAGGGATAACCCACAATAACCATTTTTTATCCTTTACTTTTTACGAGAAATAATGACTTATTTACGAAGCGATTGTAGGCAATACAGCATTAATTCTTATCCAATTAAGTACCTTAAATACATTGTGCATTTAATATAGATCAATATGGCCCTTTACAGCATTACAGCATATAATTTAAATGAATATTTTCGAAGATATTACAGATTTAAAATGCAGGGACATAGCGGTTTAGCGGTACCGGCCGGGAGGCCGGTTTGTATTGTCTAATGACAAAAAAACTATGAATGTTGTATATAAAGACATTCTGTAGTATATTTAGTATTGTTCAGGGGGTATCTTTTGAAGATTTCCCCTTTTCGATAATAATCTAAACAAAACAAAAATATATTTAGTATCTGCATTGCACCCGTGCGAAACTGGGGCGGGTCACTAGTAATAAATAAATGATATTCAACCAGTAACGTATTCGGAAAATTAATCAATTTCTAACGAACGTTGTATTGAATTGGATTCTTGTTGGAGTTTCCGCTTTAGTACTATACATGTCTCCAAAAATGTTACTTACGTCACGTTTCTAATATTTTTTTTATGGTTTCCTAAACTAGGTCGATTGTTATTGGGCGCAGTTTTAATGCTACGTGTTCTTAGGTTTCGTGATTTCTAAACATAACCGTTCCTATTATGTTAGGCATAAAAGTAAATTTTTTAAACCAAAACGTTCCTATTACAGATACATCCATTTCGTTAAAGAAAATTATTCATTTCAAATAATTAACAAGAATGTATTGCGTGTCTACAATTTTTTTATTGTAGTTTACGATATTTTCATTAATTTTTTGATGTTAAGTAACTTTATAGTTGACATTTTTCATGTAGAACTTCACAATCATGTAATATGAAAATATAACGTGAAAAATAAATCAAATACAGTGTAATCGTCACTCGATTTAACGACAAACTCCTTAAAACGTCGAAATTGCTTGACTTTGGTTGGTTTACATTGTTTTATATACAATATTACACTCTATATAGCGTCACGCTCACTCTATTTAACGACAACAATGAGGCATTATAAATCATAAATGTAGCCATCAAACTATGGATTCACAATTTTTGTACAGTAATTCCTAACTATGTTTTTCAATTTTCATAAGTGGTATTTATGATCTTAATCACTAACTTGAAATTATTTTGTATTCCAGAGAAGCTACCCTTTATAGCACATACTTGCTACTTTGGTAGGCAATTGTGCAAACCTGTCGCCGGCGATTGTATAGAATACCAAAGACTACTATTGTGTTGTTGCAATAGACATACGCTTATACATTGTAAGTAATTCTAATCATTCCATCACAGACGCTTTTAAATAAAATATTCATAGACCTCCTGATGTGATTTTTACCTTTTCAAAAAAAGTTCGTTCAATTTTCTTCTTCAGTGCATTATCTTTAGAAACATTTAAGAAGTTTAGTTATTTTTTCTTTTTTTGAAACTGCATTATCAGGTAGTAGTCAATATAAGCAATAAATAAACAATTTCACAAGATTATCAAAAAAAAAAGGATAATGGTTTTGTTTTTTTATGGATTTTAGGAAAAATAAACCAACCGAATTTTTACCACATGATATGATGTATTTATTAAGTTATAAATATGCAGCTTTATATTATTGTATTGCCAATGACGCCACCCTTTTTGTTACAGGGAAGCAAAAATCGGTCGCTTCTAATACACCATCGCTAAAAGCAATTGTAATGCTAATGCTAGCTTTATATGTTTGGTACCTACATTAAATCTAAAATGTAACAATAAAAAATTGCTTTTGTGACAAAAATGTAATTGTTAATACGTAAATTCGTGTGTTTTTTCACATGTTATATTTAATTTCTTGTTTTCTGTAATAAAAAATATATTTTGTTTTAATTGCAATTGTTTTATTTCAAAAAGTAACTCGCACAATGATGATTATTAATTATTGAAGCTTCTTGAAAAGAAACTGAAACTAGATGCTCCAGAGTCATCATCTGATCTCGGTGAAGCTGTTGATCTGACTGCGGAATTGGAGCCTCTTTGTCGCGATCCTGATGAAAACCCGTTAAAGTTTGAAAATTGGCTACCAAAGTTATCAAAATTGTTTGCATCGTCATTCCGGTCTGCAAAAGTTGGCGATCGAGTTCTTGTATTTTCATCGGTTCTTTGACCGCTGTTTCTAGTGATGCCAGAATCGGAATCTGATCTAAATTGTTCTCCAGAATCAAAACTCGACGTTTGTCCAAAACTTCTAGAACTATCTGGTCGACCACCAAAATTCCTGAACTGAGAATTGAAGTTTCCAAGTTGAAAATCGTTAAAGGAATCGTCTGAAGTTTGTGCACCAGTTGTTGTTCTCGAACTTGGTGCTGATGTAGAAGTTCTCAAATTGCTAAGGAAGTCTTCAAACTGAAGAAATCGAGAATTATCTACTCCTGTATTTGTCCCAAAGTTTCCTAAACCACCGTCGGTTTCCGAACTCTGATCTGCATTAAAATCTTCAAAAAAATGAAACGTTATTAACAAAAATAAAAAAATGAAATAAAAAATGAAATATGTAACAAAAATAAATACTTTTAATTTTTAGATACATTTTGCCTTCAAAAGAAAATATTAAATATATTCTTGATTTATTTTGATATGAATAAACAAAGAATCTAGGCAGTTAAGGGTTGAAAGAACCTAGTAAGTATCCACACAATATAAATATGTTCGACTCCACTAACTAGGAATATTACAGCTCTGATAAAGTCGCATAATTAGACGCGAAACGTCGCTGTCGGTTTTAAACAGAAAGGGGAAATATTTACCTATATCTTTATATTTTAAATTTTGAACAGCGTGAGCTACTTTTAATTTAATTTAAAAAAATAAAGAAATACATATCGTTATAAATAAATGACTAAAAATTATTCTTACTTACCTTGCTGTCCATTGACAAAACGATAACACATCGCGTAACACACAAAATATAAACCAAGTTTTGTTGTCGTTATCATCGTAGTCATTTTAACGAATTTCTCAAATTTGTAAGCCGTTCGGGTAGATATTTTGCTTATATATACACGTCTTGAATTCATTCCCAATTCTTGTTTACTTTAAGTACATTTCTTTTTTGTAAACGAACAAATGGTACAATTGTTTTCAAGCTAGCAGAGTAGTGATTGCGAAACATTAATGCAGTGGGCACTGTTGTTGGTGCAATAACAATTAACGCTATTTCAAGAATAAATACTCTTAAAATAAAGGAATTCCTTGATGGAAAGTGACTATTAAAGTCTCTATTGATCTAAATAATAGTGTTTTTTATGAAACCTAAATCAAGAGATCGAATCAGGAAGAATTATTTCTCATATCAATAAAAATATATACCCTAATACAGTTGTGAAAATTAAAGATAATCAATGAATTTATTCACTGAAAATGTAAATTATTAAACTTTCTTTTCGGTTTAATTGTTTTACTTACTTTTTTCAACCCCCATAACTAGAGGAAGAAATGGTTTCCATATATTTTTAACCAGCGCGATGAACTGTTTAACATGTTAAAATCTATAAGTCTAAATATGATTTTGAAACGACTACGAAAAACATGGAACATTAAAATCTACTGACAATTAGTCTTCCAATAATTATTTTTTTCAGTTTTTTGGTCTCGTTATTTCTACAAATTGTAACAGTAGGTCAAGCGGTTGGTTTTCGAAGAATTAAGTAATTGTGTCGATCCAAAGTACATATATGCAAAATGTTTAAATGAATTTGGATCTCTATATTTCTTTGAACGGTAAATTGCAGTTTTTTTCGTATTTAATAAATACAGATTACTAACTTGAACGTCCCGTTTAGACCAATATGTTGTTATTCAATCTAAATTTATTTATTTTTAGTTACTTTGAGAATTACTTATTCACACCATTTATAATGAAATACCTACCGGTTAATCTTCTAAACGAAGACCTGAAAATCCACTTACATCACAGGGTACAGTTATTCTATCAGTAATTTATGCACATTTTATAAAGACCTGATCAAAGTATATTTTATAGTAAAGTTGTAAACAGTTTTGTATGTTCCAGATATCTTTCAAGCATGGGTGTACTAAAGTGGTTGATTTTAGCGTTACTTTTTGTTGTTTTTTCGATATTTGAAATTGTTGATGCTAGAGGTGAGGCACACAATTTTAATTTTGATCCAAATTGTTAATATTATTTTTAATATAATATCTTACTGCATCTTGTTTATAAAAAATAGTTCATAATAGTGAAAAAAACTATAATAACTACTTAAACTGATACAAATGGTAAAAATTTTCTGATGATCACAGCTGTGAAAGAATTTAATTTTTTTCAAATTTTTTTTTGTATAGCATATTTATTTTCTTTTACGTCTTTTTTTATAAACGGTATTTAAATAGGTAATTTTGTAACTTTTATTTTGGTATTTTAGAAATATATGATTACGATAACACATTAGACGATGTTTATGGGAATGCGTATCAAACTTACGAACAACCTAAAAGACAATGCCCTCTTTGCGATTCATCAGTGTTTAGTTACTGTGGCGAAAAGCTTTTTCATGATTCCTGTTGCTGTAATAATCCTAACAACCCCCACTGTAAGTATTAATCGACAAAGTGTAGAAGACACATAAAGTACAGAAAATGCGATGGGTATTATCCTTTAAGGATTAAGATAATTAAGTATTTAAATCAGTTCATTTAAAAAAGTTTTAGACTAGATTAGTGTGGTTTTCAATAATAGTTGAATGTTTGGTTCTAATCAGTTTTCGTTTTTTTTTTTTAATTATTTTTTGCAGATCCATTACCGTATAAATGTAAATTCGCAGATTGCAGTTTTCTTCACTCAAACACCTGTTACGAACATAAACTAATCACAGCCTGCTGTTGTATCTCGTAATTTAAGGGTTAAAAGTGTTATTTATTTTATTTATTTATTCTAAACTAATCATACATGTCCTAATATATGATATTATTTTATGCAATATTTATATATGATGTAGTTACAAGATACATACCTACCCATAAATAAATAATGAAAAAATTGTCTTGAATATTTACGTCACATGTACCATTCACAGGTGACATTGCTTGTCAAATATTCAAAATTCTTGTTCAAAATATTGACACATTCATTATGAAATACGCCAGTTATACTTCATTAATTTTGACTATAGTACGATCGATCCAATGGTTAAAACGTTGAGATAATCCACGACACAACAATGGGTACAAAACATCAAAAAATGAAACCCTTTTCAGATACAAATTCATCCAACAGAAGGGAAAACATTTCAACCCCTATAGCTAACAGAATTGCCGAAATTAGATACCAGCTGATTACGACATTTTACCAAATGCAAACGATCAAAAATATTCGAAATCAAAGTACTACTGAAGATTCTAAGATGTATTTCGATATTAAAATGTTTGAACTCGAAAATGCCATAATGATTCTTCAGAAACGCCACGAAAAGTTTCAATCAAATGTAGCATCGTTAGTAGATTATGTAAAAAACTGCACAACAAAAACAAACAGTCATTTTGAAAAAAATGAATTATTAACAGATGATAAATCTCCTATTAAAGAATATTTAAGGAAAGAGTCGCCAAATTTTTCTTCGTTACCAGTTAGTTGTGAATATGAAACTACAAAAAATTATGATAATAAAAACAATTTCAAACTTCAATCTAAATTAGGGGAAGACGTTAAAACGTTTGGGGATCATTTTTTTAATAAAGAAATATTCGAAGCGAAAAAGCAAACTTATCCCTATCATTTTTCGACCCCAACAGTAATGATGCTTAATATTTCAAAACAAGGAAAGGGGAGTTCCTTTCTTAAGAGCAAACTCAAAGAAAAGGCAACAGATTACCGAAAAACAAAGGATGACTCTAAGAAAGCAACCAAAAATGACAAGAAAAAGCCAAGTTCTAACGAAGGTGATAAGTCAAAGAACAAAACAAAAGAAACGTCGAAATTCACTGAAAAAGAAGTTAAAAACCCTTTGGATGCTGAATTATCAATTAGTGAAATAAAACAGATTTTAATCGAAGAAGGATTTGAAGAACAAATTACTAGGGCGTATGAAACCACCGGCAAACAAATGGAAATCTTAGACGCTTCTGAACAAAAAACAGAAGAACACTCGCAAGAAAATGGCGAGAAAACCCAAATTACAGATAAACTGTCGATATGCACACCGGTCTTCCAGACCAAAGTCAACAAACAGGAAAACGAACCCCATAATACTGATAATCAGCATCAGTCCGAAATTCCCGCAGTTGTAAACAAACCCGATATAAAAAAGGCAAATGCTACAAACGATAGAAACTTATTAATAACAAACTTACTAAACGAAGAAAAATCGGACGAAAAAATAGAGATCGTCAAACCTCAGATAATCCGTACTCGTTCGTCTTGGTTTTTCAGTGTAGAATCAGGAACAAGTGTAAAGTCTAAATGGAGCAATCTAACTCAAAACAAGTGTGTACACAAACTTCAAATAAAAGACAACACATCGGTGTTATCCCTCGATAAAACTATAACACAAAAGTTAAACACTGTGTCATCAGTAAGTAATGAAAAAATCGAAAATACTTTAGAAACTAAAAGATCCCACACGTCAAGAAGTAGAAGCCTATCAAAAATCAGCATGTATTCTGCATCAGCAAATGTTAAAAAAGCAAATACAATTAGCAACAAAACGGTTCAGGAAGACCTCTGTAAACCAAAAATCGTAACTTGTCCAAATTTGAAAAGGCCACCAAACTTCTTCACCAAAAAGCGATCGCAATCCGAAAAGAGTAGACCTGTTAATACAAATAACAAACCGGTGAAAACTAGGGAATCTGATGGCAAGAGATCCAACACAGTTAACATCACCGAATATCGCCAAAACAAGTCATCTGCTCTCAAAGCATCTCATACTGCGGCAAAACTGGCTCAAGCTGACAAAAGAAGAGCACGTGAAATGGCCGTAGAATCGGACGATGGAACAATCGCATCTGGATTAGAATACAGTAACAAGTCAAAAAACATCACGCAGAAAGGTAATCGACAATTTTTTTCAAATATACAAACCAATAATAAACTTGGGATCAAGAAGAGTATATCAGAACAAGCAATTCCGATAAAAGCAAATTTCGTAGTAAGAAAAGAAAATCAGCACAAAAACAATCACGTAAAACTTGAAGAGAAGATGAGGCAAGTCGACGACAGTCCTAAAGAACACTTATTGAAAGTGAACAAAGCATCTATCAAATCACGTAGCAATAGTCCAAAATGTTCGCAACTGAAAATGTGCACAAACCAGGTAGTTTCAACAATAAATCAAAAACCATTAAACGTTGAAATAAAAGATTTTAGTCGGCCAGTAACAAAACAGGGTACGAGGAATAAGTTGTCTTTAGAAACTACGATTGGCGCGTTTATTCGTCCTACAATTAAAAATAATAGCGAGAAAAAACAAGTGCCTGTTAGAAAGATTAACAACATTAGCAGAAAAAGAACCGTAGAGAACCAGTTGAAAAGGAAACAATTACCGCCGAATAAAACTAAAAAAGAAGTAGACAGAGACAAACGTCTTCTTGATAAAAATAAATGTGAACAAAATATAAACGTAACTGAAACTACTGAAACTAATCAGAAGAAGCTAGATACTGACACCGAAGCAAATTCCAAAGCTGTAGACTACGAGCATGAATGTGAAAGTGAATACATTCGTAAGAAATTAATTATCAGACAAAAATACAGCAATCAAAATATAATTAATAAAATTGAAAATTTCAATGACAATATAATTTGTTCAAATGGTCAAGAAGAATCTCCTTGGGTTTACCATTCTTGTCAATCAACTAATACTCTATTTAATGATAACAAACGTTGTATTTCATCTACATGTAGTAGTCCATTATTTGAAGAAAGAAAAAACGTTCCAAATGTTCAGGAGGGTCAACAAACCATCGATAAAGTTGAAAACTTTCATGATACTATATCACCCATAATTTGTTCAAAACCTCCTGAAGAATCTGAGGTTCACCGTTCATATAATCCAACTTGCACTCTATTTAATGATAAGAAAAGTGACATTTCTTCTGCATATAATGGTCTATTACCTGAAGAAAAAAAGAGCGTCGCAAATGTACAGCAGGGTCAACAAACCGTCGATAACATTCAAGTCGTGAATAAGATTGAAAAATTCATTGACACTATATCTCCCATAATTTGTTCAAACGGTCAAGAAGAATCTCCTAGGGTTCACCATTCACGTCATCCAACTAATGCTCTATTTAATGATAAGAAAAGTGACATTTCTTTTACATGTAGTGGTCTATTACCTGAAGGAAAAAAGAGCGTCGCAAATATTCATCAGGATCAACAAACCATCGAAATCATTCAAACGGTGAATACCAATGAAAATTATAAAAATCCGTCAAACAAAACCAACGGAAATCATAATCAGTTAATGTGCTTCGATTTCGACGATGAAAACGATAATAAAAATCTTGGTGTAGTCGGTATCGATAAAATAAAACCAAATCGTTATTGTAATAAGACAGAAAATTCAGAAATAACGGACTGTTGTAACAATAACTATAAAGAAAGTACAAATTTTAAAGACGATAAACCAGAACATAATAGTAAAACATTAAATCTAATTGAAAGCCAACGAAATATTTGTAGAGAAAATATCGATTTTTGTGATGAACAATTTTTATTTACTTGTTCGGCAGTTAATGTCACGAAACCTGTCATAAATAAGAGGAAGTATAATCAATCGTTTGTCATGCACCATTCAGACAAGATGACTTCAACCAATTTTCAACTCTGCTCTCAGAGCTGGATGGAGATTTCATCCGAAAAAGTAATTGCAGTTTCAAACTATGAGCATATCAAAAGTAGTACAGGCATTCAAAAAGAAAAAAGTGAAGAGAACATGTATGAAACTACGCCAATAAATATTACGGAATTAAAAACAAGTACCAAACAATCTCCAAAGATCAAGACGACAATAAACCACTTTCGCGCAGATCTGAAATTTTGCCCTAAAGTGCATATGAGAGAAAAAAATTTAGCTGAAAAGAAGTGCAACCAACAAAAAAATAAGCAAAATAAAATTGGTCTTGAAAAAGCCGATAATCGTTTATTAGAAAAATACAAGAGTCATAATTTAAATGATACTGATTGCCGCAATCAACCGAATATTGAAAATTTATTAAAAACTCATGAAGTGAAGGCTGAAAGCAACGAAACAATAAAACTCGACGTTCACCAAAGTTTGTGCCCGACAGATTTATGTTTTGTTTTTACACCTGATCCAATTTTCGATCCAAAAGCTTCAATAAACCAACCACAGACAACCAACTTACGAAAGTCGGAAGAACAAAAGACTAACACCATTGTAAAAAGTCAAACAATAACAAATGATGAAAAAAGTTATTATCAAGTTCTACGTCGAACAGCCACTACAAATATCGCTTCTAAATTCAATTCATTGTCCGAGAAAAATACCGTTATTTGCGTTTACAGAATGAAAAGTGGAAACAAACGCAAAAACTCATGGACCTCTGACGTAGACGATAAGATCAAAGCGAGGTCTAGACAACGCAAGAAGAAAAAGAAACAGAAAAAACACACTTCGCACACAACACTAAATAGACCTTTAGGATCAAGAAAAATCGGAAACTCAACCAAACCCATGACAGTTATAGAAAAAGTAATGAAAATTGTTGAAAAACTTAACTCCGTAGTAGCCATAGTAGATTTATCGAAACCAAAATCTAATGAAGGAACTTCATTTGGCCACAATACTGATCTTCTTCCAGAAGAATCCAATAGAGTAGCAAAAAGAGAAAAAGGTATCGTTACAAATGTGGATAATCATGAATTAGAAAGTCAAAAAGAGCCCTCCAAAGACAACGTTGTTACCCAAGTTCCAGAAAACAATTTGTTTAGTGAATCAGTCCAAGGAATGACACCTTCTCTTTTTTTAGAAGGAAACATCGATTTATTAACAACTGCGCCGCATCACTTTGGAAACTATTCTTTGCAAAATAATTACTATCACGATCTTGGCAGAGAAAGTTCTTTTCGAAAATGCACCAGGTCCAAACATAGCTCCTTTGATTGTATAAATACGTTAACACGTAAAGAAAAATCGATTCAAACATCAAATGTCATGTTTAACACAGTAAACGATACGTTTGCTTTTCGAAACTATATCTCAAGTCCAGCTATAGTAATGACGAATGTTACTAAGAGACAGTCTAACAAAACCGAACACGACGAACTGGAAGCCCTTTTAAACAAACTACAAGAGAAAACGGAAATGAAACTTGCAGAAAGTAGACAAAAGGGAACTGTAAACGTTCAAATGAATGAAGTGCCGGAAAAAGAAAAGTCTGAAAATTTCGTAAATATAAATGATAGAATTATCGATTGCAGTTATACAAATGACTTTGAACTGTATCAAGCATTTCCAGGGAAAAGGAAATCAATGGGATCTCGAGGAAAAATCGATGATAATGATCGCTTAAACTATAAGAGGACACTTTGCGAAGTGGCGACTACCACGGAACAACCAAATTATAAACGGAGTAAAATAACTTCAAACTTTTCATTTTCGACGGATGAACATTTAAACGACAAAAAATCGATAATAAATCGATCAGCAGAGTCGAAGAAATCGATAAAAATAAATGATAGCGTGGACTACATTTTAGTTTACAACAAAAATAGCAGTAAAAATTTATCTCCTGAAATTCGACTTCTTAGAAGGCGTAACCGGAATGGATCGAAAAATTCAAACGGGAACAGTACTTTTCATAATGGTGAACACGTATGTCAATGTCCTGATCAGAATTCAGCCAAAGGACACAAACATTTGGGTATAAACAACATAGAACTCACGGAAACAAACACCACAGGAATGCCAGCAACAAACAGGGTGAAAAAATCCAAGTACATTAGCTCGCTTATAATGCCAATTTCGAAACACGAAAAAAATATTCAAACTATTATCATATCAAATAATAAATTAGAAAATGTTCCTGTTCGAAAACACCATCATGCTTCACAAGAAATCGACCCACAAAAAATCGATATGTCTATTGGGACTGTCGATACCAAAAATTCAGAATCGATTTTGCAAAATCATTTGAGTACCGAAAGAAGTAGCAACGAATATTTTAAAGGAAAATGCAAATTCAAGCTATCGGATACCGAAAATAACAGTGAACGCAAAAATAATTTTTATTTTAGACCAAACGACCATCTACTTAAACCAGAAAAGGACCGAGGTTATCTTCCAGAATCACAAGCTGAAACCAGAAACGCGGTAGTGAAAAATATTCCCAATTTGTTAAACGACAGAGATGCTACAAAATATCTGACATCTTATTTAAAGTCGGTAAAAAAGATCCTTGGCTTGTACGCTACTTCAAAGGGGGCTAATAATTTACAACATTTTGACCCAGAAAACGAGGACGAAACCTCAATTCCAACAAAAGACCACGAACGCACTTTAGATAATCCAAATATGAAAAAAACCTTTCCAAATATTATGACAACAGAAGAAATAGACAGTTTCACAACTGCTTGCAGTTCTTCAAGCGATAATAAAAGTGGATCTGCAAATACAAGTTCATCTCATTATGAAAAAGAAGAAGATAAAGACGGTAGATCGGAAGAAATATGCAGTAATTCTATCAGTGAATTTGATGAAACAAAAGATTATTCGTCGCATTCAGAAAATGGTAAATCAAGTACTGATAAGCTTGGGGTTCGCCTTTTAATTTCAAGTTCTAACAAAACTATAACACTGAAGGTATGCTCAACATCCTCGCAAAAATCATCAAAATCGTATCTTAACAAAAAGAGTGTACAAATACAAAAAGATAGAAGTGAATGAACTTTTAAACCAGAAAGAGAAATTTTTTCGGATACGAACCTTACGAATTAAATATTATTAAAGATTATGATAAATGTATGTTATTTTTCTTATAGAAGTTTGCTTGTTTTGTAAAATAGGAATCAAATAAAATGTTATATGAAACACTTTGAAATTAAATATTAATGTGAAAATTCTTTTTTAATTTTTTTTCACAATAGATATCCCAAGTTCATGAGGAAAAATTGTTACTGTTTTCACACCCTCGCAGGGAATCGAACACGGGAAAAAACGTGCATTCTTCTCGACACCCGTATACAATTTTTCCATACCTCTGTCCCGCAAGTACGACTTTTCCTAATTTTAAGGACAAGATAACACAACACAATATCCCAGGTATAAAAAATCTTTTCCTAATAAATAGTAAATGCGATTTTTTACCAGGGATGTTGTCTGTTGTGTCATTTCGTCCCTAAAATCAGGAAAATTGTACTTTTGAAGCAAAGGTATAGTAAAAAATCGTGGGGGAAACCTAACCTAACCCTTCCTGACAAAGTACGATATTTTTTTCCTGATTTCAGATGTTGCGCTTTCATTTCCAAAATCATGAAAAATCGTACTATCGGGCCAGGAGTTTGGTAAAAAATTGTACACAGGAGTCGAGAAGAAAGTACGCAACCCCCTCCTGAAAATTTGTCACCACCGCTTTCAGCCTGAGTGGCAATTCTCACCCGCGAGGGAATACCATACTTTCTTCCCTTGATGTGAAAAGTAATATACAACTAAACAAATTGTTGTAAAGTGCCTTTTTAAAATAAATAAATAATAATAACAAATCTATAACTTAAATAAGCTTACCATTTCATGAATATAAAAGTTCTTTTGAAAAATCATATTTGGCGCCACTCCGAGCACACTTTGAACTATTTATTTTATACATTTTGATATTAAATTATATTGTTTAATTAACAATAATCACACAAAAACACCACTTGTTCCAACCCTAGTAGCGAAATAAACAATAGCGTTACCCACGTCGTTGAAACGATTTACAATTTAAAATGACAGGTGTATTTAAACTATTTGGTCAGGGCCGTAATCAGAATATTTTTAAGAAGTTCGTAAAATGCATAAATAATAATCTTCATATAATATGACTACATTGCCTACATATATAATAAGGAAATATAACTAAACACGTATTTATAGAAAATAAATAAAATAAATGGGCATGTAATAATAATAAATTCGTTTATTAATTGTGTCTTCATATCATTCCTTCAAAATAAAGTTTTAACAACAGCAATGCATCATATATTCGTAATCTTCGCATAATGAGTGTCCTATTATGGGACACACTATGGCCGGTGGACATATTATAGGTAAATTATCTATAAAAATAAATGTAATCAAATAAAAGAAAACAGACAAATAAAAGCCTGGCCTTGGCACCTTTTCTAAAAGCAAAATTAATTGAAATAAAAACATTACCGTAAAATCTAGCACATCCGCAACAATAGCCAACAATTACAGCTAGATCAACATTACAAAAATGATTTGGACAAATATTACAAATTGGACCAAATCCGAGGATAGGTAATAGAACTAAAATAAATATACTTTAAAAAGAATGTATAATAACAGAGTCAAGTTAAAACAAAGTTCATTTTTTGGTACTCGGTATGTTAACGTAAATATTATTCAAAAGTATACCTACATGATCTTGGGGACCTGTTGGATATTATAATATTTGCGACGGTTATATTTATAAAACAAAAACACAGCAACAAAATTTGAAGTTTCTCTGACAGGTTCATTTTGATTTAAATTGCTAAACTAATTAACAAAAAAAGAATCGACTTTTATATATGTAAAGTCCGTAATCAACAAACGAGAATATCTGAAGCAATTATCATAATTATTGCTTCTTTCTATTACGCCTACTACTTTGTGTTAACAAATAGGAATCATTTGCTTCAGCAAAAAATCATTATGATATGAGAACAATACCACCTACAATCCTTAATTTATCTTACTAATGTATTTCAACCCTAGTCGCGAAATAAACAATAGCGTTACCCATTACCTTAAAACGATTTACAATTTAAAATGATAGGTGTATTTAAACTATTTGGTCAGGGCCGTAATCAGAATATTTTTAAGAAGTTCGTAAACTGCATAAATAATACTCTTCATATAATATGACTACATTGCCTACATATATAATAAGGAAATATAACTAAACACGTATTTATAGAAAATAAATAAAATAAATGGGCATGTAATAATAATAAATTCGTTTATTAATTGTGTCTTCATATCATTCCTTCAAAATAAAGTTTTAACAACAGCAATGCATCATATACTCGTAATCTTTGCATAATGAGTATCCATTTTTGGGACACACTATGGTCGGTGGACATATTATAGGTAAATTATCTATAAAAATAAAAGTAATCAAATAAAAAGAGACAGACAAACAAATGCCTGACTTTGGCACCTTTTCTAAAAACGAAATTAATTAAAATAAAAACATTACCATAAAATCTAGCACATCCGCAACAATAGCCATCAATTACAGCTGGATCATCATCACAAAAATGATTTGGACAAGTATTACAAACTGGACCAAATCCGGGGAAAGGTAATCGAACTAAAATAAATATACTTTAAAAAGAATGTATAATAACAAAGTCAAGTTTAAACAAAGTTCGTTTTTTGGTACTTGGTATGTTAACGTAAATATTATACAAAAGTATACCTACATGATCTTAAGGACCTGTTGGATTGTATAACATTTGCGACGGTTATATTTATAAAACAAAAACACAGCACTAAAATTTGAAGTTTTCCTGACACGTTCATTTTGATTTAAATAGCTAAACTAATTAACAGAAAAAGAATCGACTTTTATATATGTAAAGTCCGTAATCAACAAACGAGAATATCTGAAGCAATATCATAATTATTGTTTCTTTCTATTACGTCTACTACTTTGTGTTAACAAATAGGAATCATTTGCTTCAGTAAAAAATCATTATGATATGAGAACAATACTACCTAAAATCCTTCGTTTATCTTACTAATGTATTTAATTTTTGAAATATCGCACGTTAATGAGGTCAGTAACCACATACAGTACATTATAAGACGTGTGAAAAAACTATTTAACATTTTTCGAATTTCTAATATTAGAGTTAGAATAATTTAGGAGATAAACAATATTAAATCCGTTAACATTTTATCCTATAAAATGTTAAAAAATTCGCTATTTATTAAAAGTTACTTGTATCAAGTTATAGGAAATATATAATAAACATAAATAAAGAATTATAAATTCTTAAAAATAAATGTCAATATATATGTTCGGCAAATGTTTTAATGTGTTACATTATAAAAGAAATTTATTAAATAAAGAATTAAAGTAATTCCCCACTGTACTTTCATTATTACCAACGTTTAGATCAAATGTCTTGTAGCATTAGTAGTTCGAGAGTCTCTTTATGTTTTGTTTGTACATCATAACCTTAATTTTACATTTATTTATAAATAAGCCAGTCACCGGAGTTATTTTGATTTTTAAGATATATTTTTAACCATACACAATAAATGAAATGAGTGAGCAAATTAGAGAAGAAATATTACGGTTAATGAAAGAAAGGGATAAAATGGAACAAGAGATCAAAGAATTGTCAGACATACTCACCCTGGTAATATGAATGCACTTGTGGTTAGTGTTTACATTTTTATATTTTTTTAGAATGGGGTAGGAATGACCGATCCACTAGTCGATTCGGAAGGCTTTCCTGTAAATACAATTGATGTCTACCAAGTCCGACATGCAAGGCATAGAATTAATTGTAATTAAAAGAAATTTTTTAAAAGCTTTGAAATTTATGTATTACTGTATTTAAGGTCTTCAAAACGATCATAAGCAAATTATGAAACTAATTGAACAGGGACTTCATGGCTATTATAGTACAACTTCTGCTGAAGGAGTCCACAGTATTGAAGATGTAGATATGGAAGGACGTCAGTGTACTGCAGTAGAGATTCATAAAGAACCATTTGCAAAAATTGCTAACGTTTTAGAAGGCTCGCCTGCAGATCTTGCTGTAAATCAATTATTCACAGTCACTTGTAAAAAACGTCATAACATTTTTTTAGGGATTATCACCTAATGATTTACTCGTTGAATTTGGTTCAGTAAACGCAAGGAATTTTAAATGTCTAAAAGATATTGCTACTGTTGTTGAACATTCTCAGGGACAACAAATTAGAATTAAAATGAAACGTGGAGATGCATATTTAAGCACGAATCTAATCCCCAGAAAATGGCAAGGCAAAGGATTATTGGGATGCAACATTGTCCTTTTGGAACAGTAACTTACAATTTATTAAATTTGTACTATTGATATAATATAACATATATTAACTTTGTACTAATAATACTGTTGTAAAAACGCTATAAAATAATGCTAAGCTTTATGTAACAAATAAAAGCAGAAAAAATAAAAATCACATGAAAATAAAATTAAGAATTTGTTTACTTACATTGATAATTATATCACTATTTTCCAAACCGACATATTGTCACAATTTTCTCCTTCATCGTCGCCACACAACCTTTTAAAAGTTGTAACTTCAGGGAATCCAATAATTTCGCGCTCTTCTTGTATTCTAAATGAAAAAGTACTTTCATATGTTCCTATGAAATATCTTGCATGAGAGCAAATTATTTGGTCAATAATAGCAACGCCACCAGATCCGTATTTTTTTTCAATTTCTGGGACAGCATTATAACGAACTACGTTGTACTTCTCAGATATAAGTTTCTTTAACATATGATATTCTGAAAACTGGAAGTATGCCAAATCCAAATATACTAAATCAGAAAAGCTCAAGAATAAAACGAACCTTTATCGGGAGAATCTGTGGCAATAAAAACAGTATTCAAATCTAATTTTTCTAACAAATTATTTATTTGTTTGGAAGCATGTTTCAGTGTTGGTACCTGTCTTGACCTTCCTCTAACAAAGTCTCTTCTACGCATATGAACAGATAAGTAGGGGCCTCCTTTAGCATCTCTTTTAACCTTAATAGATGTAATTTTCATTTAAATAATTATTATAAACATTTAAGATTACCCACCCTTTCCTCTCTCCAATCAAGGGGTCTAATAGTGTTATCAAACATATCAGTGGAATTTAAAAAATTTTCCCGAAATATATTGGCAATTTCAACAAGTTCTCTGTTAAATCTCATACTCCTACGGGCCTGCCAATAAAGCCTATCCCCAAACCAGTCATGGAGAGCAACTTCAGCATGATCAAATAAAATAGTACTAAAAAGTAAATATTAAAACAAGAAATGGTAAAATAAAGTAAAGTGAACTACCGATATGTTGAATCTCTTAATAATTTACTCAAATCTGATACTTTGCCATGAAAAGAAAGACATTTTATATTTGTTGAAGTAATATTTTCATAATAAAAGAAGCTTGTTTGTATCACATTCTGACATGGTTCAATTAGCATTCTGTCTTCGAAATTATTTGTTTTAAACATATCTTCAAAGTGTTGTAAAATATATACTGCATCTATATTTACTTTAGTATATCTTGGTCCTAGATCTAAGAAATCAATTAGTTTAATAATGTTAAAGATTATAAAATATTTTACCTTGAAAAAATTCATGCATTTCTATCACAGGAGCAAATTTTTTTAAACTTTCTAAATCAAAAAAATAGGACCATGGAAACTGTTTATCTGGTAAATCTGTGTTCCAGTGATATAAATTGGACCAAGGAGGTAGAACTAGTTTAATATTTCTAAGATTTTCATTCTTTGAATTTTTCATTTTATTTGCAAATACTGCAAATCTTAAGTACACATCTCTTCGTAAATTGAAACCTTCTGGAGGATTAACATCATAAAACAAATATCTAAAACTAATTATTAAAATGAACTTAACATCTACTTAAATTTTATGTGTAATATTAAATTAAATATACCTTACTAGGTCAACCTCACAAAAACCCTTTTTATTGCAATAATCATCTTCTTGGCATAATACACATTGCAAAATACCTTTCAAAAAAATGCATATTACAATTAGAAACCCATTTATAGTCATATTTTTTATTAATTATTTGAAAACTATTGAAAACTTTTGAATTTAACCTTAAAATATAACTGTTCCTTTGTTAGGTTAGTACATATATTTTTTAAGCAGTGTTCTATTTCATCGAAGCGACTGCATTACTGTAACAGTGATCCAAGGCGCAGATCTGAAGTTCAGTTATTAATTATTATCAAAAGGCAACAATAACAAAGATCAAGGTAATTTCGGTAACTCACATACACATCGTAAGTTACTGATACAGCTTCTGTTCATCCTCTAATAATTAACATTTCCAGTTACTCTGAAAACATTTTAAGGGAAATTTTGTCTTCTATTTCTGAAACTGTCTTGAAAAGTACTCACAGCAGGGGAAACACATAGCTGGGTAACCCTCGGACAACCTATCCCCAACCTTATTCAACTATCTTAATTTTGGTATTTAAATTACATTTAGCTAATTGAATTGCATTTTAATATCTTGCCTGTAACATAAATGTAGTGAACATATAATGCTACTTTTAATCGTTATTTTATATTCTTTTTTGGTTTTTTGAAGTGCATCTATGTTGTTGATCAAAGACCATTGACCATTGCTATGCAACTTGCAAATAAACACTTACGTACGTGGGCATTTGGTCTACTTTTTGCATGCAAGTACATGTACAGTGTCATAATAATAAACTGCTGTTTGTAGATTGGTAGTTGGAAGATTGCGTATAGATTGCGGTTGCCCCCAACAGCTTAATGGCTGGTAGTCCAAGTAAATTAATAGTGCTTAAAAATGCATATTAAATAATGAATATGTTATTTAGTTATATGTTCCGTTTAGTTCTGCTAGTACATATTTAATGGTGAGGATTTCATTTTATTTTGTGTCCTAATTACGATCAAATGTTTTTTTTTGTGACATCGCCTAATGTTTACTTCTGTGTTTTCTTTTGATAGAACGTTTGATTGATATTACGAATGTATGTGTGGCTTGGCTATTTTATAAACACATATGTTTCCATTTTTCACTACAGTGCAAAGTTTTAAGGTGTGTAACTAATATTACATTATTTTCAAAAGAGACTGTTATAGGAATTTCATATTTGTACCATATTAAAAAAAAATCTTTTTCATAGATTTCTTTTATGTTAGTATTTACTACAAAAAAAGTGTCATTAATCTTACCAGTACAATTAATATTCAAAATTATTACTTGGCAAATTTAATATCCAGTTAGACAACTGTAAGCAAAATTCCTTGAACTTCTGCAACTTTTCTGCATAATAAGCTGATAGGCATATCATACATTCTACAGTTATAAGTATCCATCATAAATTTGAATTAACTTTAATTAAGAGTATATGATAATAACAGCAAGTTGTAATTACTTTAATTATTTTAAAATACTGTTCGGTGTAACACTTGTGATTACACTGTGTAGAGTATTGCTTTAAACTGAGATAAGTTCAACTGATATGAATATTTATCCTAAGATTAGAGTAAATAGTTTTAACTATAAATCTTAATCAGGACATTAACATATAAGTCTAAATTTCATTTTATAATTGAGAAATTGTACACTAAAAAACCTAGAAGAATGAAGAAAACACTTAGGTGCTTGTGTTATTAATAAAATATATGTATCTGTGTTTCAGTTTTTTGAATGTTATACAAAGTAAAAAGCTACTCTTCAATGTCAAGACACAAATATAAATGAATAACAGCAGATAGCCCCAGTAGCTGCAACACTAGAATCGAGTTTCATAGATCACTTATCTCCTAATATGACTACTATGATGTACCCTACACTGATGAAGTCTCAAAGTATGCGCTCAAAACGTAAGTCTGCTGTGGAACTATTAGCAGAGAGCAAGCCCTTCTATGTAAAATCCGAAATTGTTCGAGACACCACTCAAGCACAACCCGCTAGACCCCCTCCAAGTTTTGCTACAGGATATGGTAGCTATACTCGATCCAAATCTGTAAATGTTACTAGTAATGTTTTACAAAACAGTAATAATTGCAGACCAGCTTGTCTTCCCTGTAAGTTCTCATTTTTGAGTTTGGGTAATTTTAAACTAATTCGTTTTTTCCTTAAGATATGGCCGTTTCTCCTTCAAGGTCCCTTCCTCCCTTATCCCATAGAAGAACAGTTCACACGGCAAACAGCGACATGCTACAAAATAAATTGAGGCAACTGTTAGATTGTGATAGTGCTGAGGAATTGAGTGTGGAACATATGGCACCTCTTAGTCCTCCCGCTGAATACGCACAACGTTGTCATAAGAGCCTGCCGGACCTGCATTGTCGTGGAGAGCCAAGCTCTAATAAGAGCAGCAACAAGAGTCTTTCTAATCGTGACAGTGGAGGATCTAGCGGCCACTATACCCAACGAAGTGAACCTGCGCCACCCCCTAGACAAGTATATATATAAATGTTTCAAATTAAATAATTAATATTGTTGCATATCTCTCAGATTCGAGCTTTTTTAAAGAGCAAATCGATTTTTGAAAGTTATAAAGTGATAACTTTAGTAAATCGCCCCCGAAGGATATCGCGCTCATATTATAGCATTTGCAACTTAACTTTCATCATGTGTAATTCATCGCCGTTACCTCAAATACGTATTTCATTTTATTGCTGATTGAAAAAAATTTGATGCTTTGTAATATGGATTTAAAATATGTTTTTTTTGGGATAGGAGACGCGTCGTGATTCAGGTTCGAGTACACAGCATAGTGGTGGCAGCTCGTACTACTGTTGTCAGGACCAAGATTGTCGTTTGGCTCGTCAAACGGCGTATCCTCCAACTACGTCAACATTCAAACGACAAAAATGTTTACGTTACAAGAAAGATCGACCGATTTTGAGGTCCAAATCGGACATAAGCGATCGATATTGGCGTCCACCCGACCCGCCCGTTAGTCATCTAGAACAGTTTTTCGAACATCTTGGTCTTACAAGCGACAGCTATGAAGAGATGCTAAACGATAGCGGAGCCTCAAGTCCAGTTTTCTTCTCTGATGTGTCGACAGTAGACTCTAGCCGGCCGATCGATAACAACGACTGCTGTCCTGCAACATATCGACCTAGTGAACCACCGTCAATAGTTGAGAGGAACGCGCGAATCATTAAATGGCTGTGCAATTGTCGTAAAGCAATGATGTCATGAAAATACAAAAGGATAATAAGAGAAAAAACAAAGAGGGTAGTAAGGTACTTCGTTCTTATTATTACTCGATTACACGACGAACGGTCTCCAGTTTTAAGCGATTTTGTGTCGAAAAGTCTCACATCGTATACGAATACTTTTTATTAACCATTTGCCAAAGAAGCTTTATTATTCCAAATTAAAATCAAAAATGCCTATTTAAAAATTACTTAAATCAAGCACGGGGTATTTTATAAGGTAGAATTTCTTTGATACATTTAAAAAAGTCAGTGTAAAAGTGGGATACACGTTAAATATAATAAAAACCAAACGTTGGTAATGTTCACTATTTAATTAGTATCTCTATTCTATTACTTCTACTTATAGAAATACTAATAAAATAGTGAAGATTATTTGGTTTTTGTATACAGTTAGGTTGATTTTTTTTAGAGAAACAAATTACATATAAAATAGAACTTTCTAAGCAATTGTTTATAAAAAAGTTATCGTTTGATGCAAAATTTAAATGGAAAGGACAGTGGAAAATTGTATGCAATTTCTTAACATCGTAGTTGAATTAAAACTCGAATTGATTTTTTTTTTGTTATGACAAATGTGTCTATAAATAGTTTTGGATACTAAATAATTTTTTGCCGTACATCGAAATCGTTAAATGTGTTATATTCAATTTTGATCGTTCTTACTGTTGTAAGAAATTACATAACGAGATTATGAGACCTGTTGATCTAAACAAAATAAACTTGACATTTTTAATTAATATGCGATACTTTTAAAAGATGTTTCAAATCTGGTATTTATGATCAGATAATATTAACGTTTTAAAGTATTTCCGGTTTGAAAAGTTTTTTTTACTGTAAAAATGATTTAAATCGCATTTTTCAAACAATACCTTTCTTAGAAAAGCATTATTTTTGAAAGCAAATCGGAAAACAAAATACTTTTTCCGAATAAAAGTTTATGGAAGTTGAAATCTCGATGCTTAAAAATTCAGTTCTTATTCATAGTAATTATTTCAGTATTAATTTTTTTTTAATAACAATTTATAAATACAAAATGCCTATACTACTACTTATTTTACTTCATATTAATCCGTAACAATATTAATGTTTACAGGTAACATTTAACATGTACTTAACAATAAACAAGCATTTAATTAATGCTGTGACATTGTAGCGTATCCTTTGTGTAATTGTTCAATATAGCTATAATATGGAAATAAGTACATAATTGTTACATTTTGTTGTCGAAAGACATAAAAAAATATTTCGAATGTTAAGCTTTTTGTTGATAAGAATATTTTATGCGAGTGCGTCAAAGCAGGGAAAATATTTATTTCTTTACATTAAATCAACAAAGATAAGAATCAGTTTCTAAGCTTCATGAAACACCAAAGATAAAAATTAAAGTCTGTGATTATTATAATTTGATTGTGATGAAAAATGTAAAGAACATGATCATTTTGGTACATGTTTTTTTGTATATTTTGAATTTTGGTGCTAAAATTCATTACAAGACCATTTTCCTTGCTTTGACTTATTCTTATGGGGTAATCCTAAGGATTTTGTTACTGATTAGTACGTTGTTTGTAAATGTATTTTTATGAATGTTTCAAACAAGTTATAACTGTATATTTCAGGCGATCCAAATCTGTAAATGTTACTAGTAATGTTTTACAAAACAGTAATAATTGCAGACCAGCTTGTCTTCCCTGTAAGTTCTCATTTTTGAGTTTGGGTAATTTTAAACTAATTCGTTTTTTCCTTAAGATATGGCCGTTTCTCCTTCAAGGTCCCTTCCTCCCTTATCCCATAGAAGAACAGTTCACACGGCAAACAGCGACATGCTACAAAATAAATTGAGGCAACTGTTAGATTGTGATAGTGCTGAGGAATTGAGTGTGGAACATATGGCACCTCTTAGTCCTCCCGCTGAATACGCACAACGTTGTCATAAGAGCCTGCCGGACCTGCATTGTCGTGGAGAGCCAAGCTCTAATAAGAGCAGCAACAAGAGTCTTTCTAATCGTGACAGTGGAGGATCTAGCGGCCACTATACCCAACNTATTAATTTAATCGTTTTATTTCTTATTATTCAAATTAATTAAGCGGGGTTCAGGAATTCCAAGATAATGCATATTCAGTATGCCCCACTTTAAATAATAAATGAAACAAAAATGTAAAAAATAGGACTTACGATTCCATTAAAGTACTCTAAAAGGAACGAATTGAAATGCACAAAGAGAAAAACAGCTCTTACTCTTAGCACACTGGAAGATGATCTGCCTATGTTATTAATGTTACCAATATTAGAAAAAAGGCCTGCATAATAAGACATATTTATTACAGATCATTCAGTTACATATCTTGTATATTTTTTTATTTATTTATAGTTAGACACGAGATTCACTCCAGGCAGTTTTTAAAACAGCTCTTGATGAATCTCATATATGTTCACATTTACATTATTGGCAAAACAATAAACAAGTAAAATGAAAGAATACTGTTTTCTTTTTTTTAGATCAGCTCACAAAAATTAGTTCATTCATACTACATTCGTATAGGTTTTGTTTCTTTTTTGTCTACAGAAATTTGCTTTTATCCGCACTTGTGCTTTGCTTAGTGTGGGATCTATTTTTTTCTTCATCATTTTACGAATAACAAAATTTTCTACATCGGTGCATCGAACCTAAGCTTTATATCTATTATAACAACAGGTGAAAAAATATCCTAAACTGTAAAAGATATGTTCTAATTGAAGAACAAAATCAAAAATTCCTAGAGTATTTTATTTAGCCAAAAACGTACCTATCGCTAATTATTTTCTTTAAAACACAAACAGTTCATTTCCTTCCTATAAATTTTCCTATTAGATAACTCGTCTTCAGTCACCAAAATAATTCTCTCTTATTTTTTCCTATAAGGGCAGAAAGAGATTACCCTTGTCTTAACACAGCACATTTTTCTAGAAATATACTAGTGATCATTTACTCAAGAAATTAACGCAAAATTAAGGCAGTGATGAAGTGAGAAACTTCAATAACATTTAATTATTTCAGAGATTAAAAAGATGTTAAATGTGTTAAAAAGGAACGAAATTGAATTCGTGCTCAATAAACAGTTTCTTTAATAGATTAACAATTTAACTAGTAGTTAGGAATAATTGAGCACAGTATTGCTGCGAAAGCACAACGAATAACAGTAATTAAGTATTCAAAAATAGACATTTCAACTTGCACAGACCCCTCTTCACCTAGCGATACACCGATGGAGTAAACTGTTTAATTCACAGATATAAATATTTTTTATTAACAAATATAACATTCAGATAAAGTTGAAGGACAAAATTGCGCAACCCACTCGGATGGAAAGCGCATTTTTGGGCTCTTAGACTAGCGGCACATGTATTATTATCTACTAACGAACTAATAAAAGCATGTATGTCACGCCCACCAAATCCATAAGAGAAGAATATACTTAACTATTCTTGTTAAAAAATATAATGCGCTTTTTTTATGCAACCTGTATTGAAATTCGTTAAATAACGTTCAAGGTGGAAAAAATGGATGTGATAATGGACCAAGTTCGTATAAACGAATACATCAGTTACACATTATAGGTACTACAAAGTCAATAGACCACGGTTTTGTCTTTTTAAATCGAAGATGTGTCTTTTTCTTGTTTGGCTAAAGTCTTTTTCAAAATTATTGCTTTTTTATTTTTCAACCGTTCAAGAAAATATGAAAAATGAGAATTAAATGGAGACGGAAAGGCAGGAAGGGGAAAGGACGATTAAAATATGGATTCATGCAAGTCCTCTTATGGATTTGTAACAAATGAGGTTTTGGCTAGATTCACACATTTTGTGCTTGTTTATCGTAAAAAATGAAAGTCTCCAATGCTTACACTATTTTTTGCTTACTAAGTAGATGAAGATGGACGATTTACAGCAAAAACAACTCAAAACCGAAAACTACACGATGTTTCCGAGGATTGTGCTTCAAAAAATTACCAAATGTAAAACGACGTGTTCATTATGATCCAAATAAATACACAGAGGTTCACATTCAAATCCAGAATATTATTGTTAAGATTATTATGTACAAGGAGTACATTTAACATATTCGATCTGTTAAAATTTAACGTGTTATGCCCGTAATTATAATAATTAAGAATTCGGTAGAATTACTTTATAACTTAGATGTACTTACGTAACTGTAAAAATTAAATCACAAATATGCTCAAAATGCTATAACATCTTCATATAATGGTAAATAAAATTTATAAGAAATGGTAACAGTGTAGATATATAAAATCACTCTTAACATTAATTAACTAACAAAAAAAAAAAAACAAAAAAATGCATCGCCAGTAGCAATTGGAAAAAAACGCTACTTAGTCCTCTCTTTGGCCAACAGGCACAAAAACTTTTTAGTAATTCACGCACGCTCATTTCTGCAGAATTTTCCTACTTACAATATTACACTTCCAATATTTCAAAAACATTAAATCAAATATAAAAATTTTTAAATTTATCATTGGATGGACCTCATTGTTATTTTAAACCAATAGAAATCATTTAACGATATAAAATAAAATCAATCAAAATCAACTTACTTTAGAGAGCTTAAATTTTTTAAAACTCAAAACAAAAATAAACAGGACAAAACTTAACTTCATTAATTTCTTCAATACACTGTAACAAATAAAATTTTTTGCTTGTGTACAAAATGTAAAAAACCTCAAATAATTCAATTACAAGTCAATATATTGGAAGTATGACAAAAAATACTGAATGTTTTTGCAAAAGGAAGTGCAACATTTAATTTCATAATGCTGCAGAAACAAATTTTCAGGAAACAAAATAAAAAATTGTCCCATCTTTAATTGCACATTGTTCACGGGGAAATTAGATTTTATATTAAAATAAAAGCGACAAATATTATCAAAACTTCTCTACCACAGCAATTTCCCTAAAGGTTATTTCATTTTTAACTATCACTATTATGACGACAGTGTCGAAAGTTCAGATTTCACATCGAACAGTATGGCATATTATTATTACTGTTTATTAACTCTATTGGCGTTTTGAAAAAGGTTTTGCTAACAGCAGCAGCAGCAGCGAATTATTATTTATATAAACATGAATGAAAATTGATTTAAGGTTTGTTCTTTTTTTATGTTAAATAATTTTTGTTGTCCCCATCTTATAAATTGAAAACAAAATCAAATGACTAGAGCACTATACAGCAAAACAAGTACATGAAAAAGAAAGAAGAGTGAAAATTCTAATAAATTTTGGTACTTAGCGTACTTTTTTTAATGTACTTGATAAGAAATAAATATGGTAAATTGTGGCATTAATATTATCTGGAATTATGAAAATATATAAATAAAAATTTAGAAAATCAAAATGAAAAAATTTGTAGAATGGTACATTCTGTTGAAATACACCACTAAAAGAGGGACAGTTAAAATACGTAAAAATAAACTTTGTACCGTTTTTCGCGAGAAGTTCGCCATCGTATAGCATATTTTTATACTTCAAAAATAAGAACATACATATTTCGTCTAAAACGAATAATTCGATCTAAAACATTAAGAAGTCCGAATAGGCACAAATTCTCGTAAACCACGTTACCAAACATTAGAAATCTACAACATAGAAATTAGAGAACCCTCCCACAATATCCTAGCAATTACTACTGATGCGTTGTTTTACTGTAGTTGTTTAAATTGGTCCTGAGACTTAACAATAACCAAATAAAGAGAACATTTTTTCCTGACAAGAAAAATACATACAACCAAAAAAACAGGGCGACAATTCTATCAATTGAATATAACGGAAGATAATCTTACAGAAAAAAGGCAAAACTATGTGGAGGAAAAACGGGGGAGAATGACTGGGGAGGCATGGAGGTCAAAGGAAATGCGAAGAGAGGAGACAGCGTTGGAGACATACACGGATAAAATGTTAAAATATATTATACAACATTATGTTTGTATTAGCAACGACGATGATTATAATAAAGATGATGGTCTATGACGACGAAACTAAAGGAAAAAAGGAAGAAAGTAATATGGAGTTGTTGTTTCTGTTGTTGTTGACGAAGAAGAATAAAAATAATAAGAAGAAATTGTATAACAGTAGTGGGCGGTTATAAGAGTTCATACTGACGAAGATGCATACGCTGGATGATGTCACGGCAGTCGTTGAACACTCTCTTAATGTTTTCGGTATCGACGGCGCAGGTAAAATGGGGATAACAGTAGTGCTTGCCTTCCCCTGACGCTGTGCTGATACGCTGAAATTAGAACAAAACCGATCAAACTGCCTGTTCTAAGATTCCTCAGCAATTTTCACTTCAGTAAAAGAAATAATAGTGTAATTCGTTCAAGATAATCCCAAATGTATCAATTTATTTGTAAACAACGGAATGGACAGAAATAGACCAAACTTTTCGGAATTTCACCAGAGTAATACTCAAAATCAAATAAAACAAATAATGTATATTAGCATTTCCTGAACTTCACTTCTTTTAAGTCGTTAAGGGTAGAACTTTAGCATGAAACGGAAGCTGCACGCGGCCTGCTAACAAAAATTCGACAGTGTGGTAGAAAGTCAGCGAGCATGTGACTGGTTCGAATACGGGATTAGAATTGGTGCTCTGGTCTAGGCGGTTCTCGTTGTACGTTAATTGGGAGGAGTCCGCACCCCAGCCAGTGCGCGGTGATACGTAATCGAAGACATTATTTAAGTAAATACATATGTAATTATTATTTCCGTACCGGCTAAATAAATGTATAAATCGGAGTATAACTTCTACCATGTGTACATGAATACATCATCAATTTGTTTAAAGTAAAACTTCAACATAAACCATACTCTGTGGATATTATACGAATGATGAAATCTTATTAAGAGAGAATTAAATAAAAAAACGTAAGGGAGTGATAACTTATCCTTGAGGACAGTAAATGAAAGAATCATAAAACAATCATTAACCTTTAGTAAAATAAAATTGATAAAAAGTACGTACCAAGAACTCGTCTCTAATGAAGTACTTGGCCCGTATGACTTCAGGAGGTTCGTTCGCATCAGCCGCTGCATCCATGGGCGTTTGATATCGTGCGAAATCAGCAAAATAGTCTTCTAACTTACTTTTACCTTAAAATCAGATAAAAATAACACATAAAATATCACAACAAAAATAAAATTGCATCTCTACAAAAAAATGTTTTAAAAATAACTTATAAATCCTCATGCAGTCCTTTAAAATTTACTTTTTGTACCAAGTTACATAAAAAATAATAAAACAAATATATAACAATACATTAATTAAAGTTTTAGTCGTGAAATTATTTACTTTGTATATCAGTTAATGCATAATTTAATTAACACATACACTAAAATAACAAGTGTTTGTCTCTAACAATTCTTTTATTTGCCAGATATTAAAAATTTCAATGAGCCTAGGAGCAACTGTCTGTTGATATGTAAGAAAAATAATTAATTTTATAAAAATCTTGCACCAGTTTGTCTCTTTTATAATTATAGTTTATATAGATTCGGAAAAAATGAAATAAGAACTAACAAATTAAAACCTTCCAGAACTATTTCTGTTAACTTATGCGGGATTTAAATGTATGTATAAATACGGTTTCAACATTCTACATATAATTTGAATTCTTTATAAGAGTTATCACACGATTTGTGAGTAAAAAAAATATAAATTTTCATAAGGACATTCTTGAATAGTAATTTTTAGAAAATATATCCACATTATTACGACTGCGTGGACGATACTATGAGTTCGTTTTTCATTTTAGAATAAGGAACCCGAAAAAAGCAGTCGGAGAGTAAAGTATAAATTAGAGAATTTCATCTTACCCGCCATAATTTTTTCTGCTAACAGATCCTGTTTATTTAGAAAAAGTATAACGGAAATTGTGCGTAACCATCGATTGTTCCATATGGACTTGAACAGATCAAGACTTTCTCGCAAACGATTCTGCGTCGGGTCTTCTCTTAACACCATATTGTAAGAGCTACAGGCGGTCACGAAGATGATGGCAGTCACGTCGTTGAAACATTGAATCCACTTGCGCCTCTCGTCACGTTGACCACCAACATCAAACATACTGTACAACAAACACAAAAAATAAACAAAGGGTGTAACAATTTTTATCTTAACTACTTACTGAAAATTGACCTTGTCAACTTGGAAGCGCGTCTCGAAAATGCCACTGGTAAGTACTCGACAGCGCAACAGATCTTGATCTGTGGGGGTGTAATCTGATTGCTTTATCACATGAACCCTATCCAAAAAGTACTTAGCACAGTCTATTAATTGATACTCGTTACTCCTTTCGTAAGCAGCCTAAAATAAATTAAAAATACTACAAAAACGCTGATAGTCTACTTTTGTGAATTGAAAATGATGTGACCAAAACATTAAATGCTTAAACTTAGGAGTCTGTTGTTCCATATACATCAAGAGTTCTGTTATGGCAATTGTTGCACATAATAAATGTCTTTCTACTTTATCTGTTTTAACTCAGGTTATAAAGTTTCACTTCATAATCCACCTAATTTTCATGTATAAAAAGCTGGTTTAAAAGTTGCTATATTCTTACCAGGACACCTTTGTCTTTCCATAGTTCTTCGCAATGTTCATAAAACTCTGGAGGGTAATCAAAGTCATTTCCTGATGCATAATCTTGAATGTAGTCTACCCTAGCTTGGTTTTCAGGCTTTTCAAGTTGAACAGGAGGCGTAAGTGTTGACATTGCTCCAGTAATTGTCTAAAAATTATACATACGTTATACATTGAAAAACTTCTTATTTTATTTAAATAATAAATTGACTGATTTAAAGTCGATAAAACATTTCACGTTAAAATAGTCAAGAAATTTAATTCAGATGAATGTAGCTAGTTAGCAATAAGAAATAAAATCAATGTACTAAGGCAGATAACTTAGCACAAACAATAACAAAATTTATATGTATGATAACAGCTTTACTTAGCAATATCAAAAACCATAACATGATAAATTTTAACAGATCTTACTTAAAAACTACCTGTAGAATTTGATAAGACTTGTAGATGGCAAGAAATACATGTAATTTTATTATTTTGTGAACTTTGAATGAATCAGCATTATTATTATACAAATTTCAAGGTTACTACTAAACAATTATGGTCACAATCAGTCACCTTTACTTGTAGGTACTTTGCAAAGTGTTATTTTCTGGTAAATTAACTGATGATTGAACTGTCACACCTTGATATAATTAGTACATGATTGTAGCTAGCTATTAAGGTTAATTTAAACTATCAGTTGATTATCTTTTGCAATAGAAGTACATGAATATAAAAGATTATACTTTAAAAGCATAAATTTTCATAAAGAATACTCAATTCAAAATATAGTTCATTGCAGTTAACATATGAGATATAATGTGTGATGCTATAAATATAACTTTAAAGTTACTTAGTCATAATGTAAATAGTAAAAAAGATAAGAAACTTACAAGAATAGCATCCCGAACATTCTTCTTGATGTCCTCAATCTTCTGTTTCTTCTCTCTTTCACTGAATCCATTGACATGTAGAATTCTCATCTGTTTAACGATTGTCGATTTTCCAGATTCTCCTGCACCAAGCAGCAGCAGCCGATGTGTTGCACGATACACTTGCTTGTCTTTTTGCAACTGTCGATTAATTTCATCACTAATTCTCTTTTGGGAGCGTGTGTCATCTCCAGAGGGCTGGCCGTTATCACGGTTTCCAAAACAGCCCATTGCCGCTAAAGAGGACCACCAGCAGCCGGCCCCCTTCTCGGCGGCTCCAGGGCCGCACTCCGGGCCCGTCGCCACCGTGGTTGACGTCGTGTCCGTCACACTTACTGCCGTAGCATCCACTGCAAACTAGTTTACAAAAACATCTCCGCCAATGATGATTTCTACACCTAGGACAGTCTCTTACACTGACTCGTAGTCATTCTTCGAATAAAACTTACAATCGGCAGACAACTGGACCGGTTCGATGTCGCCAATTATTATCACAGTACCACTTATTTAGTCCATTCGAAAATTTAAAACAATTTGCAAAAATAAAAATGGCTTCGCGACATACTGCCGATATATGAAGAGTCGCGTTCAGACATTGGTTATTTATAAGTTATGTACTTCAAAAATAGCATGAAGTAGCGTGGTAAAGATATGCATTAGTTGAAGAGAACACACGAAAATCCGCTTAAAAATAGATATTCGACGATTTTTACACTGTTAATCACTGTTCCTCTACCGGTGCTCGGAAAAACTACTTGATACACCCTGACAGTAAATCGAAGTCGCTCTTCACACTTTTTTAACGCAACAAATCAGAAGTATTTCGGAAACTAATTAATCGTAAACTAGGAGCAAACCCTTTTTAATGTTATAACATTTATTTCGATGCTTCTGTCAGTTTCTTCTTTGCAAGACAGTTCCATTATTTCGATGACAGAAGACAGGTGAAACAAACATGTCGGAAAATTTAACTACATATTAAACAAACTTAAATTCATAGGCGCTTCTGACGAAACCAATACGCATGCCTGAAAGTTTGGATGTACAAAATCGGCGAAATCATTCCGCGAAGTTCAATTATTTCCATTGATTAGTTTATTTACTATCACTCCAATAATAATAGTTTTGTTGTATCAGTTAAATCCTTTACTGAGTACGTTTAGCAAGGTATAATTTAACGGATGAAAAGGATTTGTTTATTAAACTTTTTTTAATTAAAAAAATAATTTTCAGATTCTTCACAACACATGTACCACTACAAATATTCCCAAAGAAACAAATTCAATTTTTTAAATGGCACTACTTATGTGGCAATGTTTTAATATCGGATTTCTTGTTATTAGGAATTAATTGACTTGGTTTAATTGTCATGTTCAAAGTAGTTATTATCTTTCCAACGCCTTACTAAATAGTTAAATTATTATTTCAAATTACAAGCAATTTATTAAATGTGAAAATATATGAAAGTTAATTTAAACCGGACTGCCATACTTTAAAAGCATCCTGTTTTTTATAAGAAGAAGATACCGATAATACTTCATGCCATAACACCATAGATATGGCATACGCAAATCCACATCTGCTGTATAGTGTACACGTACACATCCACCAAATTTTAATAAGCCACATCATGTTGTGGATGTTGTGAGATTGTTTTTCATGCCGGCAGTTAAATTAACATAATAATGTGGAAATTAAATAGCAAAGGGGGGTTTACTAGTTTAATTATATTTACCGTATTAGCGTTAGCATGGATAGCAGGCTTTGCTTCGCGTTTATTCGCGGTGATACGGTTCGAAAGTATAATTCATGAATTTGATCCATGGTAAGTTAACCTGAAACTATTGAATCAAATGTGTATTACACTGAAAAATAGGTTTAATTACAGAGCGACGGCCTATATGGTCGAACATGGTTTTTATAATTTTTTGAATTGGTTTGACGATCGTGCATGGTATCCTTTGGGACGTATCGTAGGAGGAACTGTTTATCCAGGTCTTATGATTACCTCCGGAAGTATTCATTATATATTACATTTACTAAACATAAATGTCCACATTAGAGACGTATGCGTTTTCCTAGCTCCAATTTTTAGGTAAGGTTATATTCGAAAAGGATTTTTACAGGCAAGTCCTTTGAAGTCACAAGCATTATTAAGCTTTAAATTTCGAGTACTTATGTAACTCATTTGAATAGATAAAACCACTTGTGAATCATTTAAGCAGGAGTTTTTACTGTTTTAAAATCGTTATTAAATACCATAATGGAACTTTTAATTTTAGAATTACATTTAATAAATATGTATAGTATTCCAAAAATGTCTAAATGACTAACATTTAAATGTCTGCAATCTTAGTTCCTCTTTGAATATTGAAATTTGAAATGTATTTCTTAAATTCTTAATGTTTTCTTCCTTTAGTGGTTTAACTGCAATTTCAACGTATTTGTTAACAAAAGAGTTATGGTCAACAGGAGCAGGCTTGTTTGCAGCATGCTTCATAGCAATAGTTCCGGGGTACATTAGTAGATCAGTTGCAGGAAGTTATGATAATGAAGGAATAGCTATTTTTGCTCTGCAGTTTACATACTATTTATGGGTTAAATCCGTCAAATCAGGTTCAATTTTCTGGTCATGTATGACAGCACTTTCATACTTTTACATGGTTTGCTTTTATTAGGTAAAATAAACTTTGCTTTTATTAAAAACAAATTTTTTTTAGGTTTCAGCGTGGGGTGGATACGTGTTTATAATCAATTTAATTCCCTTACATGTCTTTGTTCTAATTCTAATGGGCCGATATTCTAATAGATTGTTTATAAGTTACACCACATTTTATATTCTTGGCTTGTTATTGTCCATGCAGATTCCTTTCGTAGGATTTCAGCCAATAAGAACCAGTGAACATATGGCAGCTTCAGGTGAGAAACATTCATTTGTTTAGAATTGAATTATTTTCTGATTTAATTTTATTTGCCATTTTCATCTATCTTAACTGATAAAAGACACCAGGGGATTGCAAGTGGGATATTATTCCAAATTTTTCAAAAAATTACTTATTTAAGTGTCTATGTACAAGGGAGAAGACCGTATCAGTCTTGCATCCAAAAAAACACTTCTTTTATCAGCTCTTAACTTAGACGCCTTGTAGTTTCAGTTGTTGAAAAAACAATTTTAAGAAGTGTTTTAAATAAAAAAGTACAGTATAATAATAATTGTTTTATTTTCTAGGTGTTTTTGCTCTTATAGTAGCTGTAGCTGCATTAAAATACTGTCAAAGTGTTCTAACAAAATCAGAGTTTAAAACGTTCTTTTACTTTGGAGTTCTGGCTGTGGCGAGCATTGTATTTTTAGCGGTTGTTGTACTGACATATGCTGGATATATTGCCCCTTGGAGTGGACGGTGTGTTCTTTATTAATCGTTTTAGCCTATCATAGAAGATACTTATTGTTTCTTTTTAGATTCTATTCCCTTTGGGATGTAAGCTATGCAAAAATTCATATTCCTATAATTGCTTCTGTTTCTGAGCATC